TGTTCATTTTCGTAATAGGCTTCAATAAATTTAACAAGTTGTTTGATTGTTATTCTTTTCAAGGTTGAAATTGTCAAAGACTTAAGTTGTTATACCAGAAAGAAAAAGTATAAAAAGTCATTAGACGTTTAAACTTAATTCACATTTAAATTCAGTTCAAGTTATTGGAACACCCTTTATAAGGCTTCGCTGCTGCTTAACCCATAGCTAGTTATGATTAGGCATAAAAAAGGACGCATGTCTTTCTTAAGATTATATGCGAGAAAGCGGACTCAAAGAATTCGACTGGAATTTGAACCGGGCTCGTCGATTTCACTTTCGGAGTTGCTAACAGTTACACTACCAACATATACAGCGTACAAATATGAAATTAGCGAACATTATTCAGCGTCTGCATCAGATTTAACTTTTTTTTTGTCCGTCCTCACCAAATTTCAATTCAGTAAACAACAAAACCTTTAACTTTTATTATTCTGGAGATTTTTCCCTTCATTCAATCAAAACCGTTGACTCTTTTGACCTTAAATAACGAATAAAAAGAATGTTTTGTTCTTCAAGTCGTTCAGCAAAAAGGAACAGAGAGGAAATAACCAAGAAGGAAAAGTTTCGTGAGAATTTTTTCTATAATGTCTGAGTAAATGTCATTTTCAGGATAATTTCTCCACCAATGTCAGAATCCTATTTGCTTCCTCTTTAAAAGACACGTTTCTAGTGATTTCTTTTCAGGACGTGGGGTTGGGACTAGTAAGAATAATTTTTAAATGTCTATGTCTGCTATTTTTCCCCAAAATACCTACATCAGAATCTAATGTCATTTAACTTTATCATTTATATTTATTGGGCTTAGACAGATGTAAAGCCGAATAAGGGTGAAATTGGAATAAGAAAAAAGATTCTACTGCGCCATTTTCTTTACTAGGCAGAGTAGAATTCAACATTCAACACCTGTATTAAAAATGTTGTCCGTTTTTTAAAAAAAAAACTCGAACACAGACTCGTACCAAATCTAACCTTCATAATAAACTAAGTCCACCAATTCCTATTGTAATCGAGACATTTCCGAAGCTTAACATATTGGAAGCAAACCGCCTGCATACGGACAGAAAATGAATTCAGTAACTATACAAGAATATGAGAGAAGAGCATTCACGTACTGAATACAACACAAAACCAAATAGGCAGGGAATGAATAGTAAAGACCTGTCTGTTTAGCTACGATGACCAGCATTTAAAAATTATATTTTACCCACGTTATAACGCAGACTAGTAGCGATCGTAGAAAAAAAAAACCTTGCTATTTCAAAAACGACTTCAAATGCGGAATGAGGTTGTCAGTATTCCTCTTTGAAAAGGCAATTCACTTCTCCAAGCATCAAAGGTCATAGATTACGCCATGTGTTGCTGTCATATAGTTTATTCTAGCATATCACATGCTACATGGGGAGGAGGATACTGCCTAGTAATCCCGTTTGCTTGAGAAATAATATGAACCACTCGGCATTGAACCCAAATGACATTTAATTTAATTCTGAAGCTTTGTTTAATATGACAAAAGCCTACATATGGAAGAAACGGGATAAGATTATGTTGCGCCAATCTTTAGGGCAGGCATTCGGTTTACCTTGAAAATCAGAATTCTAAATTAAAGTTTTCACTGATATATATATATATATATATATATATATATATGCGTATATTTTGGAAGCATGTTTTCATTGAGACATGTTTCAGTGAATCATTTAGACAAGTTTTGTCTACTTATTTTCAATTGGATCATTTCATATTCACAATGTTCGTTACTATGGAAGGATCCAATTGAAAATAAATAAAAAAACTTATCTAAATTATGTATGTATATATATATATATATATATATATATATATATATATATATATATATGTGTGTGTGTGTGTGTGTACACACAAAAACACACACACACACATATATATATATATCAATAAAAGACAAGAGGAAAACTATTGTTAGCTGGCGCGTTTCGTAATGTGGGGAATTTTATCAAGGCAAATGTAGGATTTATTTTGTTGCACATGTTCATATATAGAAGTAAGGATGTCATTTATTTATCAAGACTTTTGAATTTGAGAACGTTCATGAATATTCATCAGGTGATTGTAAGGTTGGTTAAAATATGTGGAAGGCACAAAATACCATAATTCAAAATCTGATAAGGTAAAAGTATGTGAGTAATATTCAAGAAATATTTGAATATTCTTTAAAATAGGGTCTGATTGTTATAGTTTAGAAATGGGTGCATGTACTGTACGTCTTCAATATATATATATATATATATATATATATATATTGATAACATTAGAGGTGAATATATATATATATATATATATATATATATATATATATATATATATATATATATTCCCAAGAGGATAGAATCCAGGTAGAACTCAATGTCCAGGACAGAGTAAGAATATAATATAAAAGGCTCAAACACTAATATTCCATTGTTACAATTTATTACATTGGAATCGTAAATACGATCAATTCATCAGACCTATAAATTCGAAAAGAATTTTTTTTGAATTTGTAGGTCTGATGAATTGGATCATAATTACGATTTTAATGGAATAAATTATAACCATGGAATATTAGTGATCAAGCCTTTTATATTATATATATTATATATATATATATATATATATATATATATATATATATATATATATATATATATATATATATATTTCTGTGTTTGTGTGTGTGTGTACAAAATAGTAAATGAAACATTCTAGTTTGGGGGACTTTAATTATCGTCACTGTTATCCTGCACTAATTTGCTTTTAGCGTTATGTCCCTTTGACACAATTACTTTCAATATCATCAAGATTTTCCAGGCACACTTTTGATTTTTTTTTCTGCCGTTTGAATTTTTTCATGCTCAAATAATAATGATTTTTTAGCATTTTCCATACTGGCCTTATGTACATTCGAACAAAACGAGTATTGTCTGTGTAATTTTCGAATATAGTATTGCGTATTGTGATCAAAAATTGTTCCTGATTATTCTGTTGCTTTGTTGTAGTACTTTCGAGCATCTAACTCATTTTCAAGAAATAATGTGGTGTCTCTGTCGGAGGCAGAATTCCTCTGTCTACACCCTGGTGTTATTTGAAAAGCTGGAAGTTTCAAATTGTCTACGGCAACTTTATATGTAACAGGTCGTACTAAGAAGAACGGTTCTGGGAAGGGAGGATTACAAATACTTCATCTTCTATCTTCTTCGCAGGACATGAGATGCCATTCTTTGTGACTAAGCTCCCACAAATCTTCAAGATGGCGTAGATTATTCTGACGAACAATTTATTTTTGTCCACACAACACAACGCGATCATATTTAATTCGGGGCTCTGAGCTGGCAAAACTTTCAATACGCTGACACCTTCATCAGTTGTTGTGCTGCACGCGATCAGCAGCCTGGAGCGGCGACATGTTGAAAAATCTCACCTTCATCCCAAACTTTTGTACGGCCATCTTTGAATGTGATCTCACATCTTCTCCTCTCGTTTAGAACTCTCGTTACAAAATATGATAATAAGATGTACAAATTATTGCAGTTGGTCTAATCCGTAAAAAACGAGATGCGAAGCATATAAGAAAAAAAAAACATATATAAAAAAATTAATAAATTAATAAGTAATAAAAAAAAAACAATTATGAATTTACATTATTTATATTGTTCGGACTATTGTCCTCATCTTTGTTGTCATATTCATGACGTTTCGGCCGTTGTATGTTCCGGCGTTTTTCAAGTGATTTGGAATTTCGAACCGGGCCCTTTATTTCGTCCACCAGGGTAGATTGTTCCCGTTCCACGTGCCATGCTTCAAGGACACATTGTCCAGTGGATAAAAACGTTGGTAATCCAGTAACTTGAACCAAAGCGTTGTGAGTTCAATACCTGGCCACAGGAGAGTGAACAAATAACTTGTAGAGTCGAGTTAAATGGAAATAACTGAAACTGAAGAGGCATGCATGTGGAACTAGAACAATCTACCACAGCGGCCGTAATAAAAAGTTCAGTTCGAAACTTCAATAACTTGAAGAAGGCCGTACAACAGCCGAAACGTTGTGAATATGAAAACAAAGAAGAGGACAATAGCCCGAATAATGCAAATCTAGTTAATAATTACAAGACCTCGTCTCAGGTGTATAAATAAACAATTAAAATGAGATTAAAAGAAAATAATTAGAATTCATTTATCTTTATCCAATAATATAAACTGTAATTTTACTTATATCAAATCCAACCATGATTTTAAATATAATTCAATGCAAATGTAGGGCAATATTTACAGAAGTTTAATATTTCTAATATCCTATAAGATATACATAGATTCCTTCCTTATATAAACAAATTAATTCAATTTATTTTACATGCATCACTATACGTAACTTTGATAATATATTATCTTATACATATAACGGAACATCTGTCTATATTTCTGAGATGAGGTACTATAATTATTTACACTATTTACATTATTCGGACGGTTGTCCTTATCTTCGTTGCTGTTTTCACGTCGATTCGACCGTTGTACGCTCTAGCCTTCTTCAGGTGATTTAAATTTAGAACTGAACCCTGATTTGATAAAATGAACGGTTCAGTTCAAAATTCCAATCACTTGAAGAAGACCAAGATGAGGACAACAATCCGAACAATGTAAATAGTGTAAATATAACAGAACATTGATTTGATTGATTTTTAACGGTTTATCAACCTTTTTGATGTTATTTAAAGCCGAAACATATTTTTGGATTGTTAGAATATTTTAGAGATAATAATGATTTTCTGATATATGTCTTATTATTTAACCCATAGCTGCGAGGTGAAGATCTGGATTCATACCATTCCCAAGGGCAATTGCGTGTAAGTGAATATAATGAATTCGACTGGAATTCGAACTCGGCTCTCCGATTTCTCATTCCTAGATTTTATCTATTACAGTACCCGACCATTCCAAGTTTACAGCACCTGGTATTCGGCAGCAGTCACCCATCTAGGACTGACCAGGTTCAACGTTGCTTAACTTCGGTGATCGGATGAAAATTAGAGTTCCAACGTAATATGGCCGTAAGTCTTATAACTCATAAATTATGCCATAGAATAATGTTTCGAAAAGAAAAAAATATGAAATACTTTGACGTCAAAATTAACGTCTTTTAGGCGAAATTAAAGAATGTCTTACATACATTCATTTTAATGTCAAGGCTCCTGATTCGCTTAACACCAAGTGTGGAGAGATCATTTCAAAGTTTGAAACTTTAATTTTAATTTCATTTGTTGCTCTCTCTCTCTCTCTCTCTCTCTCTCTATATATATATATATATATATATATATATATATATATATATATATAGTCATCCACAAACACATCAGTATCACAACACATCAGTGTGGCTAGACATCAGACTGCTTCAAGCCGTGATCGAAACTCGACCGATTTGACACCAGTAAGAGACTCTTACCCTTAGGATACGGGCGCACGACAGAGAAAGTGAATTTGTAACGCATTATATACGTGCTATATGAACGCCACACCGGCCATCATAGCGCCCAATTCTTACGAAGACCGATGCATTAAAGCAGCAGCAGCAGCTACTAAAAATTCTCCTTTCTCCATAGTGCTCAATATATATATATTTTTGGTTCAAATGTTGTTATATATCAGGTTCAATCACAAGGCATTTCCGTTTTTCGAAACCAAATGTAATGATGCATGTATCATCCTAATTACTAATCATACGTGGCAGTTGATAATAAATTCGTAATACACTAATATACTATATATTTTGCACGGCAATGGCAGCATACACTGTGGATTTAAGGAACATGTTGTTCTCTTCGTGCTAACGCATGGATGGATACGGTGTGAACAGCTCAGGAAACAAAAAAAAACAAAGTCTGTTGGATTTTTATTCTCCATTCGCTATATTCAACTAGCCTTACGCTAATAAGATGATTACCTTTTTTGGTCGCTGCAAGATGCTATGATGGGGAAAATTTTCTCTAATGAAAACCAGATTCCAGATTTCGTGGAATTTTTTTTCAAATCAGAACATGCACAATTGTTCTCTGTCGGAATCGATTAGCAACCTGATAAGTGGTAACAAATCACTGTAAATAATGGAGAATATATAATTGAATAGAACTTAATTGACATTATTTCCCGAAGAATAAAGTAAATGAACAAAAACGGAAGTTATGTATTACTGAACTTAATATATAAGAGTCAAGTGCTCTATATTGGAAAAAGAGCGTTTATAGATATAGACAGTGTGGACGTTGAAAAGACTGCATGTTAAATGCCAGTTTCATACCTCGAGCAATCATCATATATGTATATATGCATGTAGATGTATGTGAAGAAACCATGTGTTTTATCTCGGAAGAGTTAAAGATCGCATAAATCCACGACGCCATCATTAAAGTTCTATGTCAAATGATGAAAGAGGCTGTGATAAAAGAGTAATATATGAATAAAAGTTTTAGCAATATTTCTATGGTTTTAACTTCTGTTTTTTATTTATATATACAACATTACTATGTGCACAAACATAAAAAGACGACAGAGAAATTAAATTTATTGGGTCACAAGTTTCTTCCCGTGCATAATTTATTGTGAATTCTTAGAAGTACCTTTTATGGGTACCCAATTTATTACGGCTTATAAGTACATATTCTACATCCTGGTGTTATTTGGAAAGCTGGAAGTTTCAAATTGTCTACGGTGGCAGGCCGTACTAAGAATGTTTCTGGGAAGGGAGGATTACAAATCCTTCATCTTCTTCATAGAAGATGAGATGCCGTTCTTTGTGTTTGTGATGCATCTCTTCAGGATGTGCGCGGTCATGGCTCTCCACAACTTCCTGTCCTTCTGTATTTCTGAGCAATGTCTGTCCCCTTACTATCCTAGGTCTAGCTTGTGAAGTAGGTTATTTGCTAGTTTTTACTACCCCACTTGCCTTCAATATGCCAAGTGTGTGTTACATTTTCCAAGCCTTATTTCTTCATTCTGTGTCCCAGAAATTTAGTAATGGAGAGCGTAAGGCTTCGCGTTGTTGGAATTAGCATGCATCAGACGCAACTCATCCTAACCAGATTGATTATATTGTAGTCCAGAACTGTTTTCAATCGGGTGCCATCAAGGCAAAAACAAATAATTACACTAATTACTGAAGTAAATACAGAAGTTTCGAATGTTTATTTCTGATTTTATGTATAATTATGTTTGTCATTCTCATTTTACTAAAAACTTCCTCATTTCTCATATGGTCTGTCCTTGCATTCCCAACATGATTATTCCTAAGAAGAAATACATTTGCAAATATAACGTCTTTCTCGGCTTATATACTCTGCACAAAGAACTTTGTGGAGGACTTTTCTTTTTTCTTTTCTTTTATTCAATTCATCTTCCTTTGGGGAGTATTTCAAGGTGAAACAGTCTTCATTTTACAGCGTCCGTATCGAAGAGCTATTTTCTCTTGTATTCAAGTTCTGTTCATTTAAATACAGTTTTCGCCTTATCGTCATCATTGATTTGGTAGGTTTCTATCTTTCTTCGAATTCTTTTTATTGATGATGGAATGATGTCATGCAAGAGAAAATTAACACCAGGATTCTTTTACAAAATGTAAAACCAAGTAGTCAATAAGTGTATTTTATTTTTTTTTTTTGGCTCCAATGCTGTATATAATTATGCCGCATAAAAGAAACATTTGAATCACAATCTTTTTATCTGCCGGGAGAGAAGAAAAAAAAATTTCTCTTTTTTTGGTTAAATTTCCATGTCGTTAATTTATGCGTACAAAAACAAATCTAGTATCTTGTTCTGCAGCATGCAACATAAAAACCTTTCTATAAAATACGTCCAAGTTTTATTGAAAACAGGATAATTCGAATATTGTACTTTTTGTTTAAATTCAAATTAGGACTGAATAAGTGCAAATTGATAAGAGAAATGAAGTAGTTCGGACCTGCAATGAATCAGAGTAGTTTTGACTTTCCGATTGGCTCTAGAGTTTAGTGTTTTAGTCCAAATAATAAATGATATTATTTAAGTATTTGAGTAAACAATACAAATGCAGAATAACCATATAGCTATGTTTCAGAAAGTACGTAAATGCAACAAATAAGTTACAACACAAAGGCTTGAACTGCTGCGAATAATTCGGAACATTCATTTGGAACAAACTTTTTATCTGCCATATGGCGCGTACAAAAAAAGGAGAAAAAGTGGAGGAAAAATAAATCAGGCCAATAGGTTGTTGAAAACGTATCAAAATTCTGAACTACGATATTTTTAATAGGGTCAGATAACATTCGCAAGTCCAGTGAAAAGTAAAAAAGAATCAGAGTGTGGTGGTGACTTTTCATTAGACCGTGAATTGACGAATCAGCAACTATCTAGAAGGGGAGATATCCTGCTACAATAATGAAATCTTCCCTCCATAATTCTTCTTTGAAGGTTTTGGTTTGGTAGCGAGTAGATTTTCTAGAAAAATGCTATGATATGGAAGTTCTTTCATTCACTGTACTTTCCAGTCAATTAAAGTAGTTGGTAGCATTTCCCGATAAGGGACAATAAAAATGGCCAATGCAGACCCAATTATGTTCTGCTGTTTATTATTACAAGAACACCTTCCGCCTGGTCGTGATCAGTGCTTAGATAAGGATATCGGGTATGGTAATCAACCTCTTACAATTCGAAATATGTTTCGGCTTGAAAAGGGTTGATAAACCGTCAAAAATAAATCAGTGAATCAATTTCGACTGCTGAAAAAACAGTTTTTGGTTTTCAGTGAGAAACCGAGACTGCGATTATGGGATATTGGCATGAAGTCGGTCGATATGGCTCACTGCGGGACAACGCCCGTAATTTGCCAAACCACGGCTCGAACCATAAAAGATGTCGTGACATACGGATTGAAAATTGATCGAATAAGTAGACAGAAACAGAAAGAAGATTAAGACAAGGATTTATTCAATTATTCATTGTAACAAAGCGATTTAACGAGAACTAGAAGTAGAAATTGGGTTTATTATTGGCGCGCACAATCTTCCCACAATAAGATACGCAGATTACAGCGTGTTGATGGCTGACGCAGATAGAAAACTGCAGAGACACCTAGGCAAGGTAGTAAAGTGAAAGAAGAAGACTATGGAAGCGTTTTTTTTTTTCAATTATCAAGTCTCTCCTAACAGGTAGCTACATGAAGATCGTTTGTTTTGTGATGTCAACGAACACTCATCGCTACTTTTGTAAGCTGTTTTACTACAAATCAAAATGTACCAAATATATTTTCAATATTCAAAAATTACGCAAGAGCCCAAAGCAGCGTCTGCTTTCTCTCTGAAAGTCGGAAGATTCACGTTCAAGTAGCTTAAATTTTTTATAAATGTTCTGAGGAGCTAAATTTCTTATGTTCAGGTCTACCCCTTCAGGCATTGACAGCTAAAACCCACGGTGACATATAAACTGGAAAGAACCATCCTCATCGTCTTCGCATTCTATTAGTAAGTAAGAAGTTCCACTCAAACATTTTCTTCTCAAAAACAGACTCCCGATAGGATGTTTTCCCGATTACTATTACTTTAACCTTTTCAAGTCTAGGGCTAACTATCATCTTTCCTACATAACCTCATAAACTGAACTTCTTAACTCCTCCTCCTCTTAAACACATACAAAAACATAATTCAGTAATCCTGTACCTTGATTAGCCTTGTATTAGGTGAATATTTACTTAAAAAAAAAGAGAATGATGTCTTTTATATAGGAATAAAATGTCGCTGCCGACGCTTGTGTTTGAAGATAGATGGCCAGTAAACAAACACAAGCGATCTCATTATTGATTAAGTTGATCACATGACCATAGCGGAAACGAATATATATAGAGGAAGTCGAGTGACGTCTGATGTGTTCGCTATCTCTTGTTTATCCTCTATGCTATACGGATCTGCATTTCTTCTGTATCTTCTGTTATTACTGAGACCGCCATTCAGTACTCTATTCCCTATACTATTTCTCTATTTGGATAACGTTACGTATTACTATTTGAGTGAGTATTATCAAGCAAG